CTATCTAATTCTATTTTTATAATAGTCTTAAAATGACAAAATTAAGGAACTGGAGAACAGATCTGTGGTTGGCACAGTTTAGGAGTCAGTAAGGTTAGAAGGTTATAAAAGGGCAACATGAGGTTGTTCTGTATCTTGACTGTATCGATGTCCATATCCTAGTTGTGATTATAGTCTTACAAGATGTTACATTGAAGGAAACTGGGTAAAGGGTAGATGGGATCTCTGTATTACCCTCTATAATAAAAGGCTAATATGCAAATCGACTGAACAGCAGAACAACCAGTCACTATGATGCACACTGACCACCAGGGGGCAGACACTCAATGCAGGAGTTGCCCCCTGGAGGTCAGTGCACTCCCACAGGGGGGGCACCACTCAGGCAGAATCCGGCCTCACAGCTGGCGAGCACAACAGCAGCGGTGGGAGCCTCTCCCACCTCTGTGCAGTGCTAAGGATGTCCAACTACGAAAGGGCGCAGGCCAGGCTGAGGACCACGCACCCCCCCCCTCAGTGCACGAATTTTGTGCACCAGGCCTCTAGTTTCTTATAACTACCTGTGAATCTAGAATTACCTCAAAAAGTTTAATTTTTAAAAAGTGGAACAAAATATATTTGCTTTGATTATTTTATTGTGGCCCTCCCTGAGATCTGGGAGATGAACTTGGATTATCACTAAAATGACTAAACAATCTTGCACCTGTAATATTCAATGGGACCACAGTTACCTTCATTTAATAAGCCAGAAATCTACCTGCCATTCTGAGTTCTTCATTTTCCTCCTCTTTTAAAAGCAATTATGAAAAAGTCCTGTCTGCTCCACCACCAAAATATATCTTGAATTTGTTACTTCTCTTTCCCTCCTATTGCCATTATTTCTGGCGGGCAATAGCAAATATGAACTATTGCAAGAACTTTGCAATTATGTCTCTCCTCTTTCACAGATGCCCCCATTCAATCCACCCCTCACTCAATAGCATGAGTAACCTTAAAATATATATTGGATCATATCATCCCCATGCTTTATCCCCTCCAGAGACTTCCCTTTGCCCTTCAAACAAATCCAAGCTCATTCCCATGACCTACAAGGCCCGGTATGTCCCTGGCTGCTATCTACCTCCCCAGTAGCATCCCTTTCCACTTCCTCTTGCTCCCCTGCTTTACCCAAAATCCTCTTATTTTTCAACCTAAGATCTTTCCTCCCTCAAGCTTTGCACATACTTCCCTCTCTATTCTTCTGGTATCAGTCAAAAGACACTTCTTCTAAGAACATTTCTCTGAGCACCTTCTCTAAAGTGGCAGCCCCCCTCCTGTTCTCTTCTTCATCACTCGTTTAGTTTCTATCGGAGAATGCAAGGCCCACGAGAGCAGAGTCCCTGCCTGTTTTGTTCCCTGTTGTAACTGGTGCCCAGTAAAATGTTCAGTGAATACTGCATTTTGTGAATATTAAATCAGTAAATGTCCCAATGGCAGCCTCAGACCTTTTTGAACCTCCTTAATTTATTAAACAACTACTTATTGAGCATCTACTATGTAATATGCACTCCCACAGGCATGGGGAATAACAAGATGGGCAAGGTCTCTGCATTCATGGACCTTAGAATAGGTGGGAAAAGGGGGACAAAATAATAAATAGGCAAATTAATAATACAATAATAGCAAGTAATAAAATCTAATAATTTTAATATTTAATAAATAAACATGTTACTGAATTTGAGTTTATTATTTAATCATTCACATATACTATTTTAATACTAGAACAATCGCGAATTATTACATGTCAAGTATCAGTGGTATGAAGAAAACAAAGCAGAGCATCCGGCCTGAGGAGGAGTTGCAGGGGCAGGTGGTATCTACCTTAAGAAGCCTGTGGGGAGAGCCTCTTAGTCACCTGCAGGTAGCAGAGCCAGACACACACAATCCAGGGTGGAGCGCTCAAGGCAGAAGCCCACCCCGTCCAAAGGTGCTGAGCCCGAACACACTGAGCAAGTCTGAGTCCAGTGTGGCTGGTCCCAAAGGAGGAGGAGGCGAGTGGGGGGAGAGAAGGTCTCAGAGTCAGGGAAGACTACCTCGGACTGGCCCCTCAGGCCGTGGTGATGCATGTGTATTCCCTCCTAAGGGTGGCTGGGGAGCCTTTGGAGGCTTTTCAGCAGGGGTGCTATGGTCTGGTTTAATTTTAAAATGGGTGTTGTAGGCTCCATCAAAAAAGGACTGTAGGACAAGAAGGGGGGCAGGGAGGCCAGGTCACTATGCGGTCACACTCAGGAAATGCTGGTGGCTGAAACCAGAGAGGCGCCTGTGGAGAAAGTGAGAAGAGGAAGGCTATCACGGGGACAAATTTGACTTGAGAATCTCAACATACACTGGCCTTCGTCAGGGACCAGGACTCTCCAGCACTCCCGCACCCTGGCTTGGCCCGGAGTGAGCTCATCTCAGTGGGTGCCTCGTACCCGCCCCCATCGGAGAGGAATGCAGCGTGCTGAGGTAGCTGCTTTTCCTTCTGCCCGGCTACAGAAATACATAAACTCTCATTTTGCTGACGGGAAGGATAACGAAAAAGGGCGGGGACGCTCTTTTCTTCCCTTGCAAACCCCCACCTCGAGCTGTTGGTAACCACTATGAAGATTACATTATGCGGAAGTCATCAGAGAGTGACTTGAAAGGAAAGAACAATCCCACAGAGGCCAGCGGGGACCTCTCGGCGACTCTGGGCACCGGTGGTCGCCACCCAATAGCACAGCCAGACCTGCCCTTGTCCCGCAGGCAGGGAAAGACGCCTGGCTGCAATGGGGCCACAGGACCTCGGGGGGGCGCTAAAGCCCACTCCGCGGAGAGGCCGAATGGAATTACCAGGCCATCCCTGTAACTGGATCCCTCCGTTCCCACCCCTGATAAGATTTCAGCCCATCCCTTAATGGTACAGAAAGTATTCGTCTCCTCGCTCCGCTAACTCGGAGGCAGCTGGCTGCGGGGCTCAAGGTCCCGCGTCCCGGGTTGGCCAGAGCCAGGACGCGCTTCCAACCCGAGAACAGCTCGTCCACGCGCGCGCCGGGTGGCTCCGACCCACACACAAAGTTAAAAGCTAACCGGCCTCGCGCTGCGCTCAAGGCCAACTCTGTCTCTTAAAAGGAGATTCAAAGAGCAAAGGTTAGTAAAGAGGGAAAAAAAAATGTGGCTATCATTTTTTTGACAGCCGCACACCATCTCCGGTGGGGTCATGTCACCGGAAAATAATTGCTAAGGAATTCTCGCCTGACGATCAAGCCTTTGACGAGAGCAGGTGAGCATCACCAGCCCAGACTGGTCTGGGAAGCCAGGAGCTGGCTGTGCACCACCATCAGAGCGGCTACCTGGGCTCCTGAAGGTCTGGCTTCAGAGCTGCCTTCCCAAGCTTGGCTCTGCAGCGGCGAGCAGAGAGCAGAGAGCGCCTCAGGTGATGATTGAGTGAGTTAATTCAGGGGCAGTGCTGAGAGCAGCACCTGGCTCCAAACAAGAACTCAATCAAGATTAACTATCGTCGCTAATAATGTTTGTTCGTGCTTTTCCACTAAGAAATGACTGTATTGTGTGTTTGCTTTTACGATCATTTCTCCTTAGACATTAGAAGCTCCTACGTGTGTTATTTAGCTCATGCATCTCTGAGCCTGGAACTGTGCCGGGCTCCATGAAAGTTTGTGGGGGTCTTTTTTCCCCTTTTATCCTCACCCAGGGTTATATTCATTAATTTTAGAGAGAAAGGGGGAGAGAGAGAGAGAGAGAGAGAGAGAGAGAGAGAGAGAGAGAGATATGAGATCTCACATCGATCCATTGCCTCCCATATGAAACTCTGGGGATCAAACCTGCAACCTAGGTAAGCGCCCTAACCAGGAATTGAACCCACAACCTTTTGGTGTCCAGGACAATGCTCACACCAACTGAGCCAGCCAGCCAGGCAAGTTTGTGGTTTTAATTAAAATATTTACTCAAGTGTGTTACCTTGCAGGGGTGATAGAAATGAAAAGAGGTTGGTGAAATAAAAACAGGTGAAATCTGAGTCTCCTTTTCCTCTTCGTCGTATTACCTTTTGTTTCTCCATAACAACCCCTCAATTTTGCTGCTGTCCATGAAAGTCCCTCTGCAGGGAAATGGTTCCAGCTGAGCCTCAGTGGAGCCAGTGACACTAGTCGCCAAGCACAGTCCAAGCTCAGTTTTGATATCGCCTGGGCCCCCACAGGACCTTGGTATCACAGAGGATACACAGAAGGGCACAAGCGCAAGCAGGGTGAGCAGATTTAATTGAGACTCTACAGTATTGCCTCCAAGTGCCTCTTGACATACACAGAACCAATAATCATAACAGTAAAAACAATGACACCACCACTTACTGAGCACCTAGTATACACTATGCTAAACACTTTTCTATATTACCACATGTAGCCACCCAAAGAAACAAAGTGTGTGTTCTATTATTCTCATTGTATCAGGTGAAAAAACGAAAGCACAGAAAATCATGAGAGCCACTGGCTTAAGGTCAGACCACCAGTAGTAAAATGTTGAGATTCAAACCCAAGTTCATAACTCTCCAAAGCTCACTCAGGTAACCACTCAAGACTACCATGGCCTCTGGCCTCACAGCCCAGATCGGAAGCACAAACACCACAGAACTAGTTTTCTGCAGGGCAGAGTGCTGTCTGTGTACCTCCCATGCCCCTGTCTTTGTCTGTTGTCCCCAAACCATGGCATGGCAGCCCAGCACACCACATCTGCTTTTCACCTGTCCCCGGTGGCTGCCACGCTTAACTTGTACTTTAAAATGTGGCCGCCTCTGGTTTGTAACTTATGCCTAAAGGACCTGCTCCTATGTTCTTTCCTGGTGGAACAAAGGTATGAAAGCCACAGGTCTCTGCAGCAATGCATGTATTGATTCAATTCTCATCAATAGCCTTGGCAAGATTAGACTTGGACTTTTACTAGGCTCACTCCTTCCTTGCCCTCCCCCTTCTCCTGTAATGTATAACTAGTCTTGGAAAGCTGAAAGAAAGACAGAGAGGAGCTGGCCAGCTGCATGTACCACACTCACTACAGGACCTGGAATTAAGAGGAAGACTCCCAGGCAAATAAAATGACAGATCAGGTAAAGCAGCATTCTGTTCATTTTTGAATCGGCTTTGAGAAAATGAATAGGGGAAGCCGTGCAAGTCAGTGAGCGTATGGAGGATTTGGGGGATGTTGGATATAGCTACCACAGATCAAAGCTACTTCTCTTGGTCAATTGATAGTTCATTTGGCTGCTAGAATCCTGATTTCTTGTTCAGTAATTAGGATTTTAAGGATATTTGCTCTGTTTTCTGACTAATCTTTGTAACTTCTTCTCAAGTGATTCTGCATAACCATACTACTAAAGGAATATGCAAAAAAGGGGGGGACAGATTAACCTGAATCTAACTCATAATGAAAATTGTAATGAAATCTTCAGAAATGTCAATGTATAAAAAGCAAGAGGTAGAAGGATTGTTCTAGATTAAAGAAAATCAGGAACTAACTACCAAATGCAGCAAGTGCTCTTAGATCATGGAAGGAGAAAGAAAACAGCCCTAAGGGACATCATGGGGGCAGGTGGGAAATCTTGAAAAGGGGTTGCATATTACATAACATTTGTATATCTAGTAGATTCTTGGATATGATAATGGCATTGTAATTATGCCAGAGAATGTCTTTATTCTTAGTGAGAACACGCTGGAGTGTTTAGGAGTGAAGTGACACAAATATCTTCCACATAGTTTGAAATGATTTGGCCACAACAACAACAACACACAAACACACACGCACAGTGAGAGTTAACCAAATGTGGTGTTAACCATTGGCCAACACAGGTGAAGGTTACAGAGTCTTTGAACTTCTCTGTAAATATAATAATACCTTTTGCCCTAGCTGGTTTGGCTCAATGGATAGAGTGTCGGCCTGCGGACTGAAGGTTCCCGGGTTTGATTCTGGTCAAGGGCACAGGCTCTATCCCCAGTAGCGGGCGTGCAGGAGAAAGGTGATCAATTATTCTCTCTCATCATTGATGTTTCTATTTCTCTCTCCCTCTCCCTTCCTCTCTTAAATCAATAAAAATAAATAAATAAGTAAAACATAATACCTTTCAAAATAAAAACTTGAAAATACAAAGGGTATTTTTATTTGCTCCCTTGTTAGTTTCCCCCCATCAAATGCCCCCACCTCTACACACATCATGCAAGTAGGTATATCTGTACCCCTCTCAGAGTAGACCTCTAAATTCTGATCTGGTGTGAGTTATTCTGCTGGGCATTTCTTCATTTCGGAAAATGACAAAGCTTGATGCACGGGCTTTGTGGTCAGCCAGGCTTGGGTTTGGGATGTGGTGAAGCTACTTATCTGCTCTGAGGCCAGGGTTCTAATTTACCTGAGCTTGGATTTTCTATATTGTGATAAAATAAGAACATATTGGGATATAGCATAAGGATGTAATATAGGATATTCAGGATTATAAAAGTTCTTTATGATCAGGCAGTAATTGAGATACTATTAGAGACACTCAGGTAACAAACATTTTAGTATTAATAGTTGTGCATTTATATAATGTATATTTAAAGAATAATTAGGGCATTGGGATTCCCTATTATAGCCCAAAATAAAGCTAAAGCAGTTAGAACTTTGAAAACAATATAAAGACAAATATTAAGTAAATAACTCTAAAGATGGTATGTAGCTTTGGCAAAAATCATGAAGGTGGTGTTCAAATAACTGAAGTTTGGAAGATACTGCAAAAGGGAAGATAATGTGCTTACCACCCTGCCGGGCATCTAGCAGATGCTCAAACTTCGTTTATAACTACCGTTGACTTCCCGTAGGGGAATTTAGAAATGATGTTGTAGGACTTTTCTTGAGAACTGATAAATTGCCTAATAATGGAACCCAGAAGGAACGAGAATTGAGGTAAAGCACAATGTTTCGGCTTTGTAAATCCACCCAGACTTGGGAAGAGGAGGGGTGAGCACGAGAGGAAAGGTCAGAAGACCTGCACCCTCATTCTGAATGTGCTGACTCAGACAAAGGATTTGGACTCAGCTTCTCACCTGGAAAATGAAGAGATTATACATGAAATAGTTTTCTTATAAAATGTCTAATAATAGCCCTAACCGGTTTGGCTCAGTGGATAGAGTGTCAGCCTGCGGACTGAAGGGTCCCAGGTTCGATTCCGGTCAAGGGCATGTACCTTGGTTGTGGGCACATCCCCAGTAGGGGGTGTGCAGGAGGCAGCTAATCAATGTTTCTCTCTTATCGATGTTTCTAACTCTCTATCCTTCTCCCTTTCTCTCTATAAAAAATCAATAAAATATATATTTTTTAAAAAGTCTAATATAAATAAGAGAAAAAATACTTTTACCCCTTTTCTCCGATCTCACATTCCCCGTCAAAGATCATCCTTTTATGGTTTTCAAAAACATATTCTATGAATTACATACAACATGCATAGATCAAAAAATACTCAGATTTAAGCCTTTGAAAAACATTAATGAGAGTACACAACTTCCTTTGTCATTTAACAATGTCAATGCATGACCACAATATTCATTTTAACTGCTGCATAGCAGCTTGTATGTATCTGATGTATATATGTCATGGTCCATTTGAACCTATTTGGCTATTTCCCATTGAATGACATTAGGTTCTTTCCATAATTTTTGCTATCACACATATATAAAATGTCCTTATATGTGGCTCTATATGCATGATAAGGCTTCTCTGAGGTGGTTAGATATGTAATTATAAGTTGGAAAGGATGAATGCTCTGCCCCTTTCTATATTTTTGTTTGTTTGTTTTTATAGCTATAGGGAGTGAGGTGTGAATAATAGCTCTTAACCCACAACTCTAGGTTCAACTATATGAAAATCCTGAAGTATTACCTGGATATTAATGTGGATTATGATAAAGACTGGTTGGTGCCCCTTGTATAAGTTTTGAAGTATTTTTGTACCATAGCAATGTCCAGGAGCTCCCCAACTCTTTGTTATTGCTGTCTGATTTTACTTCTCTTAATAGCATAAATGATTGTTTTTATCTTTTTTTATAATATATGTTTACTGATTTCAGAGAGAAAGGGGGAGGGAGAGAGAGATAGAAACATCAATGATGAGAGAGAATCATTGATAGGCTGCCTCCTGCACACCCCACAGTGGGGATTAAGCCTGCAACCCAGGCATGTGCCCTCACTGGGAATCCAGTTGTGACCTCCTGGTTCAGAGGTCAATGCTCAACCACTGAGCTGTGCTGGCCAGATTTTTGGTTCTTCTCCTGGAAAAAGCTATCCCCAACTCTTTTCAACTTCAGCAGTGTAAAGGAAACCATGAATGACTCTCACATTCTGGTATGAATGAACCTGCTGGGAGCATAGGGCTCACTGTGAGTATCAAGGAACAAGAACCAGCCTGTGGAGCCTGCCAGAAGTCCCAACTGCAGAGTGATAGTAGATGGGTAGCTGACCTTGCCTCATGTTTCCCAGCCCTGTGTCTCATTCCCCACAGATCACCGGGACCTTGGTCTTCACTGTCTTCACTGCCGTGCTGGGTTCCTTCCAGTTTGGATATGACATTGGTGTGATCAATGCCCCTCAACAGGCAAGTAAAACATTCACAATTCAAATCCCCTTTTGGCAATTTCTGTCCATGACAGAAAGATATCTGCTCCTTGTACAGAGAAATAAAGTGTGTCCACGTGGGGAACGGCCTTCTGTCAGGTATCCTGTGCGTGGTTCCAGAGCTCAGAACTTGGCTTTGACGCCTCATCACTTAATAACCCTCAGAAGAGAGTAAACAGCAATAATTCTTGATCTTTGACTCTGATATTTGCTGAGCTCACAGAAAACTTTAGTCAGAATACCATGTGCCTTAGGATATCTTTTGTAAAGCTTGAAAGCTTATTTATTGCAGCATTCATTCTGACCTCTCAGCCATACACAAATGAAAATATCAGGGAATATGAGAAAGCCATAGAAGGATATGTTTCACTCTGTGCACAAATGCATTGAGCACCAACTCACTGTGCATCAGGAACTTTAACGTGTTCTCCCCAGTTTCAGCCTCCCAATAGTCTTCTCTCACCCATTTCCTGGCCAGATTAAAACCATCAGAAGCACTAACATTAAAAAGACTCTAGTCCTTCCCTGTACTGCTGTCTCCTATAGGTGCTTCAAAGTAAAATAATACAAAACATTTAAATAATAGTCAAGAAGTCCAACAACATTTGGGTTTTCTCTGTGATGATCATTTGGATGGGTATTTTTTAAAATATCAAACAATTTCTATCAGTTTTTTTCATTGATTTTGTGCATCTCTACTCTGATATCCAGTGAATGGACAGGAGAGGGATGCCATTTTTCTCAGCTCCCACAACCTGTAACGAACTGGGGGAGGGGGGCGTCCAGGACTTGACTCCCTCTGCCCTAATTCAGACTGTCAGTTCCCTTAGTGCGGAATTGATGTCTTGTATCACCAGTGCCAAGCACAATGATTGGTGTAAAGAGGGTGTTCAATAAAGTGTTTAGTGAAGGGGAGAGAGACAAAGAAAGAGAAAGGGAGGGAGAATGGATGCTGCGGGGAAGGCTGGCATAAGGTGCAAGTACAAATATTTGTTAGGTGACTTCTACAAATCGATCATATTTCATCTGCTTCTTTTACAACATTGGACTCCAAGAAAAATGTAAGATCCCTGCAGGGTGTGAATGTGTGAAATGTGTGCTGGCCAGCCAGTCCATCATCTGAAATGAGTCGCTCCTTGGACCAAAAGATGTGCTCTGGTTACGTGCCACCCATCTTCATGAGTGTGGCAGGCCTCGCTGAGGTTGAAAGATTTAGGATACAACACTGTGTGGAGTGGGGTGGGGATAGGGAGAGGGGGGCTATTTTCTGTGGGTAATGACATGTGCCGATTTGTCAGGTTTCCTGAAATTTGGCTCAATATCACCATTATTGGTAGAGCCTCTTTTCCTGGGAGACTATTTCAAATTCTTATTTAAACCATCCTTTTCAGTCTTCGAGGGGAAATTAATCTAAGGTTTCCCTCCTTCAATCACAGACCTGCACACCAGGATTCCCCACTGGCATCTGGCTTAGTGCCCTCTTTGTAGACACTTCCTTCTGTGTTTAAACACTGTTACATCAGAAGAGTCATTCAGGCTCTTTATTATTATTATTAGCAGAAGGACATTTGGAATTATTTTAAGGGTATTTGTAAATCACACCTTTTATGATTATGAAGACTACACATGCCTGTTGCAGAAAGGATTAGGAAAAAAATCACCGTAATTATTCTACCACATAGAGCAAACTGCTGAGAACATTTTGGGTATTTCCTTACAGTTGCTTTTCTGTGTAGGTTGTCCATATGGCATGACCTTCTAATGAGGCAAATGTCTTGGTCAGAATTCTTTTATCATAACATGTCAGTTCCTTCCCTTACTCAGCTGATTTTGCAACCTAGGACTTTGCCCTGAACCTAGGGCCGCTGCACCCCTTGTCAGAGGTCCTTGCAGCTCGCTGCTACTGAATAGTAGCCAAAGAGTCATCGAGAGGAACGGCATGGAAGGAAGATAGCCTGAAAGTATAGTTTACTCAGTTATACTTTCCTATGATTATTGCCCCTAGTGGGCCACATTATAAAGTAAGGCTCTGTGAAATTCAGTTTTGAACATTGTTCATTCTGTTACCCACTGAACTCTGTGAGGTCCTCTAGGTCTCAGTGCCTTCTCAGGGGCCACTGAGGTTTTTTTTTCATCTTTGGAATTTATCAGTATACACAATTGTTTTCTTCTCTATGCCTTGGCTGCTAGGAAGTTTATTGCTAAATTATAGCTCACTTCTAGCAAGGATATAGCACCTAGTGTTTGAATTTTGTATACTAACTCTATTTGGGCCTCATCGTATCTTTCCCAATTTTTTTTTCTTTTGTGTTTCCATTAAAATATCTCCATAAGTCCATTTAAATCCTCTTGTGCAGGGGTAACACTGGTGCAGATTTATATCTTTTTAGCCTGCAGAATATTTTCAATTTGAATAGTAGACAGCATTTAAAACTTGGCAGTTTTTACATGAAAACCCAGATTTCCATCTTCTTTTTAAAAATTAAAGTTCATCAACCCTAGTCTCGTGTTTGCATCCTCCTCCAGGTGGGGCAGACGCTCTCGAGGGCCGTAATCCTGCTCACTCGCTGTTATGTCCTCAATAGTAGAGAAGTATTTCAGTCCTCGAGTCATTAAGGTTCTCCTTGCCTCCTTCATTTATTTGTTCCTGCCTGGCTCCTGTTGGCACTGGAATTTGTGGCCTCTGTTTTATAGGTACTAGAGGCCCAGCACACGATTAAATCATGCAGGTAGGGTCCCTAGGCCTAGCCTCCTGTGATCCGGGCCATCTTCTGCCCGTTAGCCAGTCCCCAGGTCGAACACTGCCTCCGCCACTGCCGGGCTGTCAGGCTGTGGGGATCCCCAGCTCATCCCCGGCTGCGGCTGCTCCAGGGCTCAGGCCTGCGGGAAAGCGGGCACCAGAGACTTCACCTCCATGTGCGTGCGCTGGGCCGGCTGCTGATGGACCGCGCTGCCTGCTGGGGGTGATGCTGCCACTGCTGCTGGCGCTTGAGGCGCTGACAGAGATTGTGGGACACGCCGGTGACGTACCGTCCAGGCATGAGCGGCCCCGAGCGGCCCGCCGGCTCACATGCACGGAGGTGAAGTTGCCAGCACCCGCTTTCTTGT